CCATGCTTAATTCACTGTCATAACACTGGGGGGAGAACACCCCCCGCTCCATCTTTGCAGGACCTGGGATGTTCAGCGGTTTGCGCCATGGCATATTAGGCCCCAGAGATTGGACAGTTGATGCTTGTCATCACCGTGGCACTCGTGTGGAACGCAGCGAGTACTAACTCGAGTACCAGCAATGCCAAGCTGCATTGGCAAGGCGTTCCCCAGACCCACGGTTCCCCCATGTAATCCTGCTTTCACTGCAGGGAACTTTCTGTCTTTGGTTCACAGCCCAGACACTGTCAGACCAACAACCCCGCGCTTGTAGATTGATGACAAATGTATAACTCACCCTTAACACTGACACTCACTAAAATATTTAAGCACTGTCTTTCTGCATTTCGAGTGGCATCTCTTGTTGATTAATCTAGGGCTTGATCCACTAAATTGACTGGAGTTTGTTTTTTTTTTCTATAGTGACAACAGAATACCCACGTCCTGCAAAGAGCCGATTTGATTCCCATCCTCACTGGTTCACTGGGGTTTATTTGTCAGCCTCTCTCTGTCCGCATCTTTGCTGAACATGTTGCACTCCAGAAAAGTATCGGGGAACCCATGATGTCATACCCTTGGAGTTCGCACCAAGAAGGATCCATTTCACTTCACTAGTGCTTCCCTTGCAGGATCTTAATGTGCTTTACAACTGTGAGTTAATTAAGACCTGCAATAATATTCCCATGGGGCTAGCAAGGATTAGCATCTCCATTTTACAGACAGAAACTCTAGCCCATGGAGGTTGAATGACTAGTCCAAGGTCACACAGCGAGTCAAACACAGAAGCCAGGACTTGTCACCTCAAATTCATTGCTCTGACTCATCAGAAAACAATCTCTCCTCAAGTAACCCAATATTTTATCACCATCAATCTCTGCAAATCTCTCTTCACAGGAATGCAACAATCCATATAACCAGCTTCGGGGGAGGACTACATCGATCAGGGCCAATCAAAAACATTGATCATCAATATTTGTTGACAGTGGCCAAGTCTAACAGTTGGTTGGCTTGTCCATGGTGTGATGTCATTTCTACATTCATTCTCTCTATCAATAAGGTCGTAATATGAAAAGGGATTTTTTGCCTATTTTGCCATCACCCCTTGGGACTGCAGTATACGAATGATTGAAAAGAAGGAAAAGAGAAAAAAGGAAAGAGAGACATCATAGAGAAAAGAAGAAGCACAGTTTCCAAGCTCCCAATCCTACTCTTTTTATTTCCTCATAGTCCCAGCTAGAAATAATAAGAAAAAATAGTATTTAATCATGAAAATAGCATTGAACTGTTTGGCACCACAACCCTGCAGCCAGCGGCCTGCACTCTCTTCCTCTCTCCAGAGACAGACTTTAAGCCTTTCCATGCTGATGGTTGCTGCAGCCAGCACTGGGCACAGGGCTGACCTGCCAATGCATGAAGCCACATTGGACGAGGGCGTTGGCACCGTAGAGCTGGCACTGTGCAAGAGATATGGGTTTCCTCCAGAGGGTGTCCCCAAAAACAGAACGACTAAATTCAGGGCCAGTCTCCAATCTGCAAATGCTGTCAGTCCTATTCCAGGGCTGGGGTACTGTGCTGCAACATATTACATCCCCACGCTCCTGGCGGTCTTCACGATAAGATCCCACCGGGGGAAAGGCTCATGTCACGGCCTCACTTACCATCACCTTGTGCCGTCCAATGAGATTCGGGGACTCGCACAGCAGCTGCACATCCGACACCGTCACTGTGCAGGGCTTCTCCCCGACCAGCACCGTGTAGTTCAGCTTGGCGTTCCCTCCAGCCACGGGAGGGATCAGGTTCTTGCCCTGGCGAGAGGAGCAAACCCACACACGCATCAGCAAAGCATTACGTGGGTCTGCTCCTGCGACATGACTGCCACCCCTAGACAAGCCCTTTTTGGCTCATTGCTCCCTGTCTTGCCCTGTAATGTAGATGCAGACTGGCACAGATAGGTACAGGCTGCCCTGCTACTGACTCTCTGGGATGACTGGGATGCATTCAGGCAAGTAACAGTCCCCACAAAACACCCTTATATGTGCAAAATGGATGCATCATTGGAATGGGCAGGTGGGCATTTGTGTGTGCTGTTACTGCTTTCCACATGAATCACTTTGAGACGCTGCGATGGACACTGTTCATAAAGCGCTCTGACTTCTAGCAAGTCTCAAAACACAAAGGGGCTGTTTTTGGATCAGCTCAGCAGTGAATGAAAGGCCTTTATAAATCCAGACAGAGGCAAGCTGGGGTGTCCTAATGGCCATATTGTCAAGTACTAAAGCTGTATAGGGCAGGACTCTCAGTTGCTAAAAACCTAATCTGCACATGAGGTTTGCAGAGAACAAGCTCACATCTGCTCCGGTCATCGTTAATTAATGGGGCGCTCCAGGATGCTGGCGGGTGCTGCCAGTGCTGTACCTAGGCGAACTTGTAGCATCGAGCCCCGCTTTGCCAGAGATAATGATAATAATAATCGGACAATGGGAAAAAAATTACCATTTTTGGGCCC